CCACTGGTCACAATCAACAAGTATCGATTCGGATGTGTGATAGTTTTGGCTTCTGCAATTTGAAACAGTACAAATACGCAATCAGATTTCAATGATCAAATTCAACCTGAATAATAACTCCATCATTGCTGCTACATAAACATACTAAAACAAAATGATTACTTTTTTTTCAAATACAAATAGTATAAAAGAAGCTGAGCTATTGAGCTCATTTTCGAGCTTACGCACTTGCAAATTTACTGCTGGCATTACTGCATCCATAGAAAAACTTCGAATTTTTCGAACTCCAGAGATCACGATTATGAACTCCTGCACTGATCTAGAACTCAACAATCAACCACACCACATTTAGCAACCTTAGATCCAAATCAAATCACAAATAAAACCAATAAGATTCAGATTAAATCCTAACCTTAACACGAGATGAAGGAACTTTAATCTCATTACCACCGCCTTTTCCTCCCTACAAATAACAAATTATGTAATTAAATTAATACTTTATCATATTATTAATCAATCAATTAACACATCATAATTAAATTAAACATTTTAGCATTTTCTCGTGAGCGTGATTGATTAATATAATGTACCGATGAATCATCACGACGGAGGTGGCGGAGGTGATTATCATCATTAGGAGACGGCGCGAGGATTGATAGGAAGAGGAATAGGAAGAGGATAATGCCGGAAACAGCAAAAATTGCCGGGAACAGAAACCGCACACGGCTGTGATGATGCTGGTGGCGCCGCCGTGGAATAGCCATACGGCGGCGATGATTGGTGGTCGGAAGCGTTTTTGCTGGTTTTGACTCCTCCTCCGGTGGTGTCGCGGAGGAGAGGGTTTAGGGGTATTATTGGAAATACAGATTTGTTATTCTTTCTTCTTCAAGGAGAGAAGATTTTGGGGTTTTAGGCCCCATAACGACAACGATTTGCATTGTAGGAAACTCCTTTTCTGTTTTTAGCTTTTGGAAAGATCAAATTTTGTTCGATCCGTTTGGTGTTCGATTCTCACATTAGATTTCGAATGTTAAAGTGAGGGACTCATTACACATTTTTTTTCATATTTATCTTCCCTTCTCGACAACAGATCTTATTCATCTCACCATAATTTTCAGATGACACAGATCAATTATTACCATACAAGTAGTAATAAATTATTGGAAATGATTGAATTTTGAATGAATGATTAATTTGAATTCGTATGTGTCATTAAGGTGAATGGCTCATTATTTTAAAAAATCATATTTACGTTTCTAAATGAAGAAATCTTATTCATATCATCATGATCTTCGGATAACAAATCAATTATTTACCACACAAATTTGTAAGAAATTAATTATTAAATTTTGAATTAATGATTAATTCGAATTCGTATTGTTAATGTTAAGTAAAGGGATGATTATAAGAATTTTTTCATATTTGTATTCTAAACGAAGAAATCTTATTCATTTTACCATGATCATCGGATGATAGATCAATTATTTACCAGGCAAGTTGTAATAAATTATTGAAAATGACAAAAAGACAACAAAAGAAGAAATATTAGTTTATGTAAATTAATATATTAGGAGTAATTAAAGAAAAGGGAAGGAACAAAAAAAAAAGCAAAAAGGGGAGTGTGTTTGTGATTTAGATCTTTGAATTGTTGGTTACTTGAGGATTAGGTAAGATTTGGGGTTGAAAAAATGTTTGACTAGAAAAGTAGGTTTAACTGACCATTAGATGTACATTTTTAATGACCATCGTGTCCGCGACTAATTTCATGAGATAGTTGTCACATGCCATTAATAACAGGTGACACAGAACCTTGTTCACTAAGGCTAGAATTGATGGAAAGAATCACATAATGTTTTTGTATTAACATGTCATATAACATCAAGGGGTGTGCGGAGAAGGTCTCGTATTCGAGTAGTATGAATGAAGAATTTCTTGGTAGAAAACGTTTTTTTCCTATAATGAGCTTATTTGATGTGAATCAGATAAATCGAGCTAGTAAATTTCGGATGTCAAAGTGTAATAGCTAGTAATTCATTGTTTTGTTATTTGTAGATTGGATCTATGATTAAATTATTGAAAGCTCATCAACTATAGTTTCCCACTTAAAGTCACTTTCTAATAAATTTAATTGCAATTTGTAGATTGGACTTGTGATTAAACTAATGAAAGTTTACTAGCTCCACTACTTTGAAGTCATTTTCTAACAAATTCAAGATCTCATTGTACCGACTACGTATGCATTTATGAACTCTACGGAACTTTATCAATTCCTACGTGATACTAAGCAAAACTGCTGATGTCCGCGGTGCCCTCTAGATTGTACTGAATATACTATGCTAGAATATCAATATTGTACCTTTAGAGCTGCGAGCCAATGTCAAAGAGACAGTGCTCACGAGGAAATTGAATGAAAGCTTATTTTTTTTACACGAGTGACATACAAGGGAGCTAATGCGGTGCAAAGGAGAGACGCCATTATAGAGAGATTTGAATTATCTAGTAGGTTTAGACAAAGAAACTATCTTCTTCATACAAGGTAAACTAGTGAACTTGCTATAGGGACTGAAAAACAATCAGTTTACAGTTTAGTAACTACTCTTTCTACCTATTACTTAACAACTAGCTTTCGTGGTTTTTATGTGATTGTAGGTATTATTTTCTCGATCACATGTGATATTCATCGATTATCTTGGTTATCTGACCAAGATATCATCATGTTAGCTCTGAAGGCATTTTGAAGCTCAAAGAACATGTCATTACTAGCTAAACATGGCATATCTACTAGCTCTAGTATTCACAGGCTTTCAAGGAATGGAATATTACTATCAAACACCCTTCACTATATCGGATAGTATTTATGTTCTACCTTTTTCCTGACAACTTTTCGTGGTTTTCATGTGGTTATAGGCACTATTTACTCTACTAGTTTTGGTTACGTACGTTGCACGTATATTGCTATTAGTTGGTATCAAAATTTTCTATACAATTTCAAATGATATGTTAGATGATAAAAATAGATATTAAAGTATATCGAAAAATACAAGTTTCTAAGGATAATGAATATTAATCTTATATTTTAATCTCCTTACACTTGCATACAAAATGAATTTAATATTTACAAAGTTGAAATATAAATTAAGGTAATTTTGATACTATTTATAATAGTTATTTTATATTAAACATGCAACATGTTACTCTATGATGTAAAAGAATACAATATTTCTTTAAAATATGTTTTTTTATAGAACATTCCACACAATTTTTATATTAGATTTGAGATATATTTGTCTACCTATAATAATTAACATGTTTCTCCACCTGAAAAAGATAATAAAACTCCTAATTGTAAACCCATTTAATTAGTATTATATGTGGTAATAAGTGGTTATTCAAGAGATATTGCTACGTGGAATTTACTTCAACATTTATGGTGTGAAGATTTTATTAAGTCATTAAAGCAGTAAAAATTTATAAAAATGGTGAAAAAAATGTAAAAATATGATATTATGATTCATTGTAATGTAACTTGTCATTTAAGGTCTTTCCACTTGTAATATGATACATGATTTATTATTTAATGATTAATTAAATTATTTATTATTTAATGATTAATTAAATGATTTATAATATTATAATTTAGTATAGGGGAAAAATGGTAATCCAATTTTGCATTTTAAAGCTTCCTACTTTTTATAATACTAGTCTCTAGACACTTGTGTTGCACGTGTGTCCCATACAAGTAGTTCATACAAAATAAATCATGTTAAAAATACATTGTAATGAACAATAGAATAAAGTAAAAAAGTACAAGCTGAAATAGATGAATAGTAAACTTATATTCGAATGACTTCTTCGTTGAACAATAGATGATTAAATATTATTTGAAACTACAAAATTCAACATCTAAATTTAGCTAGGTAGGTATAATGTATAATGAATTATATTTTGAGCAACATTTAATGTATTCATATATTACATGATACTCTTCCATAAGTAATGTTCTTAATGCGTATTCCACTTTATTGTTTTGATTACCGATTTCAACGGTTAGAGTAGTTTCATTCACCAGAAGCTGGAATATTTCGAACCACACTTGCAGCCAGTGTTTATTATATCTGGCAGGAGAGGGACCATAGGATCTTTTAGAAGAAGACTAGAAGTTGTGCCACTCTAATTCTTAAGATTGTACAAGAAGTTCATATTAGAGGGGGGATGAAATCGAAATTGAGCATGAAAATGGAGAGGCTGGATTGGTATCCTATATAGTGGTTTGGGTAGACAAAGCAATGGTAGAATAAATCATTCATTATCAATTAAGTTAGGTAACTAAAGAAAATCAAAAGTTCTAGTGTTGGAGACGAAAAGCCTTAAACTACGATAAAATGTTCTTTCCAACTTCTATGAAATCATTTAATATTTGTCTATGAAATCATATACCTCTTCTAATATTTATTATATACAGATCATTGAGAAAAAATGAATATTAGTGTATATCCTACATTTAAGACGTCCATAATTGAAGTATTGAACCACGATCATCAATACTTTTCACATTCCCTTTCCGTCTTATAAAATGAGATTGCAGAAAGTGAAAAATTCTTTTACATTTAATAGTATGCTGACATTAAGTAATATAAATTTAATAATAGTGATATGATAATATTTAATATTTTTATAACATTATTATTTAGTGTTTGGATAAAATGGTAATTCAACTTTACACTTCAGAGTTTTTCCCTTTTAGTAATATATGATATATGATATGATGATGATATCTGACTAAGGAGCATCATGTAAACCAAAGGATAGCATAGAAAAGGATCTAAACAGATTTTAGATTCACAAAATAGTAGCAACAATTTGTAAAAAGTACTTGGATCTTGGTACATAGAGCCATGTAACCAAAACAAAAAGGCAAACACACACATTTTGTCTGAGGCAACTTATGTTGATCAGTTGCTCTCCAGTACTCCAACTATAACGTTTCGTCAAGAAGCTGCAAGTAACATCATGTGCTAAATAAAGCTTTCCTCTAAAAGAAAAGAAGCCGGTGGGAACAACTTTGCAACGAAGCCATATTTAGAGATGCTATACTTCCTGTGTACAGCATTAAGCCTCCCAGTTGCAGCCTTCTGATGGAAAGTAACCATCAGTTTTGAGCACTCCCTGTTATATATAGAAAACAAAACACTCAGAGGGGTTTTTTCTTCGTGCATTCGGTAAGAATAAACCATCTTTGCAAAGGAAGAAAAGTAGACAGATAGATAGATAAGATACTTACAAAAGCTGATCTCGAGTATAATTGCTATATTTCTCGCAAGTTTTAGTCCACTCCTTAGCCACACCTAGAGTACATTGAGCAGTAAATATCGCTGCAGCTGCTAGCATTGAAGGTGGAAACTTAAGTGTCTCATACTCAACAAGGCATAGTTCGGTCATGAAGAAAGACAGAAGCTCCACCTGATTCAAGAAATACCCGAAAATTGTCAGTACTTAGTCATGATTCACAAATGTTGTCATTTCTCTAAGCTAATTTAGTACTAGTAAGTTTATAGTAACCTTCTTATCGGACTGAGCAGCTTTAAGAAATCGCTTCATAAACACATATGTCGTAGGCACAGATAGTTTGAACTGTAAGGTATTGATCATCAACTTCTCCTGCAGAAAGTACTCAATCAAAGTCATATGGCAGGCTAGGAGGACTTTAGCAAAATATAATGAAATTTTAGTTACCATTTCAAGCACTTCTATCCCAGTGTAAGCCTTGTCAGAGATCAAAATTAGATCCTGAACGACAGGAATAGAAACTTCTTCGTACTTGCAGGCGAGAAACAAAGCTGTTACCCCAACAAGCTGGAGTTTTTTCCTAACCACTGGCTGGACTGCCAAGAATCTATCGATAAGATTAACGGTCAAGTACAAAGTCTCCTCCATCAGTTCAAACTTGTAATGTACCTACACATATTTGATTGAACATTAGTGAGGCCAGAAGTCATTGTTGTTGCTTCATGGAATTCGGAGAGGCTGCGAGTCATTGTTTTTATACCTCAATCAGCCAGTCAATGAGAATAGCTCTCATCCTATCATTGATATCAAATTGGTGTTCCATATAGTTTGGAGGGGCACAAGCAGAACTCTGAAATGAAAAGTAAATTTATAAAAGTGACTCCGTCAAACAGATATCCAGAAAGTTGTACAAATTTCATCTCATCCGGTTATTCTTGGGGTGTACAGAGTGAACGACAGAGAGAACTTGAACAAGTAAAATAAGCAACGATGCTACTATTGGCACAAAAACTACTACTGGAAGGTTAACTAAAGTAGGTCCTCATTCAAGGAGAAAGTTAACTTAAGTAGGTCCCCGTTCAAGGCTTTGCATTATAACTTCATTTTCCGCTAAAGGCAACATGAATAGCACCTGCCGCCTATATTGTAATACGTAAAGAGAAGGACAAGTAACCAACTATGCTACTATTGGTACAAAAACTACAAGTTGGTCATTATGATCAAGAACTCACTCTCGAGAATCTTATTACTCGCATATAATACGGGGAATCTAGTTAGCATCCATATTTAAGAATGAAAGAACAAAGACTAGACTTAAGGGTATTCACGAGCAGATGACAAGCATAAGTGAACGTCTAATGATAGCTTTTTGTTTCACTATAGATCAGTCAGTTTTATATTTAAAGCCTAATCCTGTTTATGTAAATGCTCAAACATACTTCTAAGAACCAATCATCTTAAATACGGTGGTCAGGTAGAGAACCTATATAAAAACTTAACAACAGCAACATATCCAGTGTAGTCCCACAAGTGGGGTCTGGGAAAGGTAGGATGTACGCAAATGCAAACTATATTTAAATACCATCTCCATACATAAGTTTTAAAAAATCTATTGAGCTTCTACAAAAGCTACAGTCGTGTTGAAATAGTTTCTCACCTCAATCTTCTTGTAGTAAGCCTGAATATCATCAATGTACTCCACAGCAGCTAGTATGTTCTTTTTATCAGCACTATCTATGTCCACAATTAACGTCTTTTCTATTTCTTCCATCTCTATCTCTTCATCCTACATGAAAAAAACACACAAAATAAATGATCCATAGATCACCCTGAATAAAAGTACAGATCAAATCAATTATACCATCCGATCAATTTCCTCCATCATTGCTTCTGTGTGTTGGACAGACATTGGCACAACATAGTCACTTGTGGCCTTGTAATCTTTTACATCGATAATGATGGCACCTTCTAGTTCATTTCTGTTAGGCGCTGTTTCGACCACTGGCTTTGTTACCTGTGGAAGATAACACCATCAACACCTCCAACATAACTAGTATAATCCAAGATGGTACTCGTTGAAAAATGTACCTCGAGTGTTGGTTGTTGAGGCTTGCCAACCACTTGTGCAGCATACTTCCTGAGGCAGCAAGAATCCACCATACTATTAAAAGAAAAGCAGACCAAATGATAAAAGTATTTAACAATAAGAACTATCTCAACCAAGAATTAGAGTCAGACCTCATGATTGGTCGATGAATTGGATTCGTATCACCATCCACATTCTTGCTACAAAGAATTGGAAAGATCATTGAAATTGCGATTAATAAGACATCTTGGGACTCAATAAATTAAAGAATTTGATCATTTCTTACTCGGTGACGCCATTTTTCTTGCGTAGCTTGCAAGGGTACTGTGGAGCTTCAACTATGTTCCCATTTATTGTGCTTAGAGCCCTTCTATTATTCCCCATTACCCCTAGTAGCGAAAAAACGAAAGATTTTCCATCTCATAAATTTCATGTTTATAATAGACCTTAATACAAATTAGATACAATAGTCTATACATGATTTTAACAATTCAAAATTCAAATTATACCTCGAAGAATTGAAGGCCTTGCAACACCTTGGCAATTCTCATCTGATCCAACCATCTTGAACCTAATTAAAGATTGAACAACAAACAATATTAAACACACAAACTTTATTTTTTTTTAAAAAGGGTCAATCTTTATAGGGACAATCAAGAATCAAGCTAAAAAAAATCCCAGATCACAAACCGAAAACATCAACCTGCAAAATCAAGAACTCTTTATACTAATTCTCAAAAAGATCTAATCTTTTAGTCCAAAAATGATTCAAAAAGCAAAAAACAGACAATGAACAGAAACCTGCAAAATTAAGAACCATTTATACTAAAAAGGCAGCCTGGTGCACTAAGTTTTTGCTATGCACGGGGCCAGTCTATTGTACAGTCTTACCCTGCATTTCTACAAGAGACTGTTTCCACGGCAAGAACCCTTTTATACTGATTCTCAAAAAGATCTAATCTTTCATTGAAATCCCCAAAATAATTCAAAAAAATACAAACAATGAACATAAACCTGCAAAATCAAGAACCCTTTCTACTAAACGGGAAGCCCAATCAATTATACGCAGTTTTATCCTGCATTTCTACAAGAGGCTGTTTCTAAGACAAGAACTCTTTATATAGATTATCAAAAAGATCTAATCTTTCAGTGAAACTAACCTAAATGAATCAACAATTCAAAAATTAAATCGAAAGACGACAAACATCAACCTTCAAAAATCAAGAACCCTTTACACAGATTCTCAAAAAGATCCAATCTTTCAGTAAAAATTACCCAAAATGATTCAAAAAATGAAAACACAGAAACTATGAACAGAACCCCATAAAACAATTCAACTATTTAATAAAAAAAAATGTCTCACTCTCTCTATTTCTTTATCTACAAATTAATTTTGAGATTGTTTCATTGAATATAAAGAGAATCTAAAGGCAAAATAATTGTGTTTTTTTTTTTGTTTTTGTTTGTATTTTTTTCTTCATTATTTTGAAAACAACGGCTAGTATATATATGGGCTTAAGATGAAAAGTCTTGTATTTTCCCAATTACTCATTCAAAATTTCTTATTAAAGGCATTTAATGATGTGTTGCCTTGGCTTTTTTTTCCCTTTTTTCACTTTTAAAGAAATCAGTCTAGACATCTTTCCAATAAATTCGTGTATTTAGTCGGATTTCAATATAGGTACAGAAAGTCAAAAGCGGAGCTCTCTATACTACTCCCTCCATCCAACAATATTGTGCGCTATACTAAAAATAGATGTTCAACAATACTTGTCCACTTTATGAAATTCATGGATAATTTTACACTTAGTTCGTAATTTACCCTTATCATTAATTGTAATAATTTTCCTATTACATTTTTCAAGACATTATATTTATTATATATAAAGGGTGATATAGTAAAATTATCCTTCTATTTATAGTTTCTTAAGGGGTGTGTCAAGTCAATAGTAGGCAACTATTGTTGGACAGAGGGAGTAAGTTTAATATGACATGATTTCACTTAATCGGAGGTATTGGATTTGAGTTTCCTTAGTACATAGTCATCTTAGTTAGGAAGCGTTTTACTCCTTAACGTAGAACTTTTCAATGCAAAATCGAATTTAGTCGAATTTTAATATAGGTACAAAACATGAATGGCAGAGCTCTCTATACTAAATTTAAGAAAGGTATAATACATAAATATGTCATTTAACTTGACTTCATTTCACATTTATGTCCTCCAATATTGGGTATGCACCAATAAACACTTTAACTTATATAAAGTTGAACATGTAGACACATGAGTCGTATGTGACATAATACACATAGGACACCACATAAGACCCAAATTGTCATGTAGGATGTCACGTAGGACGTGTGTGTCTATTTGTTCTTTATAAAAGTTTAAGTGCATATTTGTGCAAATCAAAAGTTGGAGCGCATAAATATAAATTGAGACCAAGTTAAATAGCATATTTATGTATTATGTCTTTAAGAAAATTAATTTTTTTTTTTGAATTTTGTGATTTTAAATTAAATATGTAACATTTGATTTTGTTATATTAAACATGTTATAAGAGTTATTGAAAAAAATTAAAATGGACTAAAAAATAAAATAAACAAATTGTAATGGAGGAAGTGATATTTGTTCAAATCCCTTGATATCGATTCACATTTTAGGCATGATATTTTTATATTATTTTAAATTTTCTTATAATTTTTTTGGATTTGCTACAGCTGTATCATTACCTTGTTTCCATACTAGTACAGTCAATGGTAAAAAATGTTTGTTTGTATGCAATTTATTGAATTGAGATGTTAATTCTTTTTAGCATAATATATAAATATATATTTTAATTTGATTTTATTTGATATTTATGTCCTTCATTTTTTGGTATGATAATAGATAGTTAAATTTGTATAAAATTAAATAAACAGGCATATGTGTCATACGTGGCGTCCTAGATATCATTTGAAGTCAAGTTAAAGAGCATAATACATAAATGTGGCATTTAACTTGACCTCATTTTATATTTATATCCTCCAACTTTGGGTGTACACATGTAGACACTTAAACTTGTATAAAGTTGAATAAGTAGACACATGAGTCCTACGTGGTATAACACATGTAGGACGCCACGTAGGACACACATTGTCATGTAGGATATCACGTAGGACGTGTGTGTCTATTTGTTCAATTTTATACAAGTTTAAGTGTCTACTTGTGCACAATCAAAGTTGGAGGGCATAAATGTGATCTCAGACCAAGTGAAAGGCATATTTATATATTATGCCTAATATATAAACTTGTCTTTTAATTTTATCTCAACTGATATATATGTCTTTCAACTCTAAGTGAGTACAAATAGTCACTTAAACTCATATAAAGTTGAACAAGTAAACACATACGTCCTGCGTGGTATCCTATGTGAAAATTTCAACCTACATAGTGTTCTACGTGTATTATGTCACTTAGGACGTCTATGTCTGTTTATTCAATTTTATATAAGTTTAAGTGTCTATTTGTACACACTCTTAATTGAACATCAATATAAGACAAAGATAAATTAAATGACACATTTATGTATTATGTGTTAGAATAATAAATTTTGAACCCACCAAATCAAATAGATTATCAAAAAATTATAATTTTGGATCACACAGATCACGTGAACTTAGTAACTTTTGTTTTACGAAAACGAAAAAGGGGGGAACTTGTGAAAAGTACCGAATTAACTAACTTTCAAAATCTCAACACTTCGAAACCCGCAAAAAGCGTTTAGTGTCTTTCTTCTCCTCCAACTTTCAACAGAATTTTCCACTGTAACTATTTTTTCCCTTTTTTTTCCAATTAGTTTATCGAAATCGCAATCGAAATCAAAGCCTTAACTTTTTCTTAAAAAAGATTAGGTTATGGTTTTGATTTCGTTTCATTTTTTTTCAACATTCAAACAGAGAATCCTCTATTTCATTTTCGAGGAAATCAAATGGCGATGGATCGAGATCACGAGCTTGAAGAAGGGGTAACTGTAGAGGAGGAATTTGGATCAAGCTGTCAAACGAGTCCACAAGACAAACGAGAAGTGATACGCGAACTTATTGGTGTGATTCACACCGTTGGATCGTATGAAGAGTATAGGAGATCACAGAGAGAGGAATGTCATAATCTCTCTGAAAGATTGAAGCTTTTATTACCTCTTTTCGAAGAGATTAGAGATTTCGAAGGACAGATCCCTGAATCGAGTATCGAATGTTTGATGAAATTGAAAAAGGCATTTTCGTCTGCGAAGAAATTGTTAAAAACTTGTCATTGTGGAAGTAAAATTTATCTGGTTAGTAACCTTCTCTTTTTTAATTGATTGAGTATATCATCATTTCGTCTATCGTATGGTGTTTTTTGTGCTCGAAATATTGCATTATTTCGTTGTCATTACTCTTATGTAATGCTCTCCATTTTGCTTTATTTCGTTGTTGTTATTGCTCCCGTATCTATATCCCTTTTTCAAACTATTTGACGTGTAAACAACCTCTCTATCTCTACGAGGTAAGATTAAGGTCTGCATACACTCTACCCTCCTCAGACCGCACTTGTGAGATTACACTGGTTATGTTGTTGTTGTTGATTATGTCATCATTATACTTATCTGCACCTGTTGTTTACACCAAACCAATGATAGTATGACGTGTGTGTTCTTCACACTCTTTTGTCACCTAAATATTGTTAATAAATGTACATTTTCATCGATTTTGGGTTGGTTGAATATGTTTATTTTACTTACGAATATGCAGGCCATAGAAAGTGAGGCTGTTATGGGAAGATTCTATTCTGTGTATGAAAGATTAAGTCAAGCTCTGGAAAACATACCTTATGATGATTTTGGAATTTCAGATGAAGAGAAAGAACAGGTACGATTTATTTCATTTATCATTTTTTTTCGATGTTGCTGATAGATACTCGAGCTAATGGGATCACAACTGAGGTATTGTTGTTAAAAGAGTGTTGATGGAGGACTAGAGTTTTGTCCTCTCTCATTAGATTTTCCGAACACCTTTTTTGCACCAAAATTGGTAAGCAAATTGTGTGTAACGTGACACACGATGAAGATGTAATATTGGCATGAAATAAGCTTAAATGGAGCTACATGGTCATGGCGGATTCATATAGTAGACTCCAACTTCTTGAGTACTTTGGGATTGAGTCATAGTTGTTGTATTACACGCGTATATCTTCTTGGTATAGTAAGAAAGCTACAAGTTGACGTTTGTCGCCCAAATTGTTGAGGTTTAATTTTAATTGTTTTAGCCAATTCTCAGAGATCGTTGTATTTCTCTGTCTATATAGCGTGCTCAAATGTTCCGAAAGGTTTATCCAATTTAACATTTTTTGTTACCTTTGGAATACATCAACTAATGCTTAAGTATAGATTTATGATGTTAGTCCAATCTGCGTCTTTTTCACTGTTTGTTCAGCTAAGGGTCTTTCGGAAACAAACTTTCTACCTTCTCAAAGGTAGGGGTAAGGTCTGCGTACATTTTATCCTCCTCAAACCCCACTTGTGGGATTACACTGTGTTTGTTGTTGATGTTGATCGTTTACCGTTTTCAGGTGGAGTTACTGAGAGGGCAATTTCGAAGAGCTAAGAAGCGAAATGATAGTCAAGACATGGAACTCACCATGGATTTGATGGTTGCACTATCTACAAATGATGATAGGAATGCAGATAGTGCTAGCATAGATAGACTAGGAAACAAGCTAGGTTTGCGTACTCTCGAGGACCTAAAGGTAGAAACAATATCAGTACGAAGAGTAGTTAAAGAAAGAAAAGGTCGTCATGCAGAAGAGACGCAAAAAATAGTAGGTCTTCTAAACAAATTCAGAAGTTTTGCAGGACTTGAAGAAATTGAACCGTTGATGATTAAAGTTCATGAGAAATCCACTTCTTTAGCAATTCCAAATGAATTTCTCTGTCCGATCACATTAGAGATTATGGTGGATCCTGTTACTGTCTCAACCGGTCAGGTGCGTTCACTACTTCTACGATAAGATTTTTCTCTTCGAGCTACCATACCATAAAAAAAAGGCGAAAAAAGATAAGATGTGATAAGAAATTGCTTTCATGTAGTCATTTTTAGTTGCTATGATGCTCCATGATGATGCATTTTCCTACTTTATATGAAGAATGATCGATTCTCAAAGAGTGAAGGGTAAGTATTTTGTTTTTTCGAGTTTCTTACCTGAACTATTACATGCGTGAGTTTCTTACCTGAACTATCACTAAATATTTATCGAATAACACACTTCAACTATAAGTTGAGGTGTGTTTTGCGATAAATAGGTGATGATAGCTTAGGTAGGAATAGTGAACACATGATAGTTCAGGTATGAAAACTCGAAAAAAAACGGAATACTTTAGGTGTTTTTTTATCACACTCATTTGTTAGACATGTGTAGTAGCAATAGATTTGCTTTGTATGACTGATTTCCTTTCCATATTGCATCTATTGTAGACATATGAAAGAGAGAACACACAACATTTGTTGGATTCCGGTTGCCATACATGTCCGAAAACCGGGAAAAATTTGGAGCACTTGTCCTTAGCCCCAAACTTTGCTCTGAAGAATTTGATCCAACAATGGTGTGAGAAGAACAATTTTCAGCTTCCTCAAAAGCAAGAACCTCCAAAACCCGAGAGCCTCTCGGATGAAAGTGGTGAACAAGTTTTGTCCTTGATTCAAGATTTATCCTCTAGTCATTTAGAAGTGCAGAGAAAGGCTGTGAAAGAGATCAGGATGCTTTCGAAAGAAAATCCTGAAAATAGGACATTAGTAGTGAATCGCGGAGGAATCCCACCACTCGTGCATCTACTATCCTATCCAGATTCAATAATTCAGGAACATGCTGTGACGGCTCTTTTGAACCTATCGATTGATGAAACAAATAAAAAACTTATATCGAAAGAAGAACCTATTTTAGCCATAATTGAGATATTGCAGAATGGAAATGTTGGTGCTAAAGAGAACTCTGCAGCAGCATTGTTTAGCTTATCTATGCTGGATGAAAACAAAGAAGCTATAGGTTTGTTAAACGGTATCCCACCATTGATAGAATTGTTAAAAAATGGTACAATCCGAGGTAAGAAGGATGCAATAACTGCATTATTCAACCTTTGTTTAAATGAGCAGAACGTTCGTTTGGCAAATGAAGCTGGGATTGTAGCACAGTTGTTTCAGTTACTCGAGAAGAAAAACTTAGAGATGGTTGATGAGGCGTTATCTCTATTGTTACTTCTTGCAACACATCAAGACGGAAGGCAAGAAATGGGAAAACTTACATTCATTGAAACACTCGTTAATCTGATGAGAGATGGCACTCCAAAGAACAAGGAATGTTCAGTGGCGGTGCTTCATAGGTTAAGCATACACAATTCAAATCATATGCTCGCGGCACTTCAGTATGGTGTGTATGAGTATTTAGTAGAGATTGGTGAGAGTGGGACTGATAGGGGACAACGAAAAGCTAAATCTATATTGCAGCATATGAGTAAAACAGAACAGATTCCTTGTCTATAACGCAAGTCGAATTAGCTGTACTTGTATATTCATGTAAGAATTCGAGTTTTTTTTCTTTTCACCTTCTTGGATAGTTTAGGATAGTGCATTATGTTTAGTTTGTAAAACAACAGAACAGAAGAATGACGTAAGAACATAGCTTTTTCCATTTCATCTCGTCTTGTTGTCTATTTCGATTCTGTTAATTTGCATTATGATATTCACAGACATGAAAGTGGTGACAACGAGAATTTCACTGTTTGATTTTCTACGTTCTCTCATTCTACACCACCTCTACGAACAATCAGTCCGTTATTTATAGTGAGTTGGTGAAATTCTACATATATAGTTTCCTTTGAGACTATCTCAATTGGAACCATCTTTTTTCAACAAGATCATATCGGTCAAATACAAGTCGTAGGTAAACCAATACAATGTGAGTTATTCACCTCTAGCCGTAGGAAATATCAACGTTAGAATTCAAGTTTCCTGTATATTAACTTAAAGATCCTTGACGGAACCATAAACTTCAAATCCTGGAGAAAATGTCAACTTGTTAGTGTGATAAGTTATATGCAAAAAGAGTGAACTATATCAATGATAAACACCATATCCACAAAACAAAATGAATGTGAATGAGAGGTACCACAAAGTTAAAATTTTCATATATTGATTCCAATTCAACCAACCAAACACTGCAATAAGTTTTTATGTTAAAACTTACTTCATGACCATCACATCTATGGGGAAAAAACAAGTATCGTCAACAAGTAAAGTATGAAGTGACTCTACAGACACATTTAACGAATCTCTCTCTTTCACAACGTCAACGATTGCCAATGCAAATTCTACACCGTCTCTACGAAAGATCAGAAGAAACTTTCCCTTACCGAGATCAACCAGTTGAGTAAAATGTACAAAACTTCCATTCCAATTATAACTTTCATTAACCCACCATCTACTCTGTGGAATTGTCCATAGTTCTGTCTTCAGACATTTCGATTGGTACCATCTTTTTTCAACAAAATCATATCCATACAAATATAAATCATCCGTAAACCAATAAAACGTAGAGTCATTCACAACTAGTTCTACTTTTCTGTCAAATTCACTTTGTATATACCGAATATCTTCACAATCCTCTAGCCCTTTTGGGTGAGACTCAGCAGCCCCGTTTAAATCCAAACAGGGATGATCCTCGATAACAAATTCACGCGTGCACACATTGTAAAACATCAATCGACCCTTATTATGTCGAGGAAACAATACAATTCGCGAATCTTCACCTTCTTTTTCCAAAACAGAGTAACTGAATCTAATAGGATGATCACCAAAACTACTCTTCATATCCAATTCAATCACTTCCCATTTTTTCAAATCCAGGTCAAAAATTTCACCCCAGTAATTCTCCCCATTGTTATCATCCTCGAATTCCCTCTCTTCATTGTAATTATCATCCTCCTTGAATTCCCTCGGGTAATTCACTCTATCGTAATTCCATCCGAGAACATACAATTTTCTACCAATCAAAGCAACAAAGTGCGATGATCGAGAAAAATGTCCTGGCAGTAAAAAATTGCTGGAGGAAGATATGATTTTCCAGCCAGAACTCGGATTTTTCAAATTGAGTTTAAGCAAATCCCTAGAAATTCTTCGTGGTGGATTATCTAAATCGGAATTTGTTTGAATCATTTGACGAATTTTATTCCCAATGTAGTAAATATCTTCACCATCAATAGTCCAACTTTCTTCCCACATCCATATCTGATCTCGAGATGGATTTTCCAAGTGAGTGAAAGGAGAAAGTTTCATGGGCTCCGGGTGGGGCCGTATTGTCATAGCGTAACACTTGGTGCATTCGGTTTTTGGTTTAGCGGTATCGATAACGGAACATAAACGTAACGATTCAATGTCAATGCGATACCACGCTTGATTTTCAGAACCTACACCTCGCAAATAAACAATTGGAGATTTTGTTGAATTCTTCTCCATTGGAATTAGAGCTCTAATAATATGTTTTTAGGTTTAGGTTTAGGTTTAGGTTTAGGGTTGATTGGAATAATTTAGTAATTAAGTATAATAATTGAGTTTAAATAGATAGTGATACGTGGGTGGCAAGAAATATGATATCATGACTAAATAGAGTAGTTGAGAGTTTTTAGGGTTTCAATAAGTTGTTACTCCCTCCGTCCCATTTTATTTGAGGTACTTTGACTCGGCACGAAGTTTAAGAAAGAAAGGAAGACTTTTAAAATTTGTGGTCCAAAATGAATGATAGAAATTTGTGTGGCTATAAATCATTTCATTAAGGATAAAATAGATATTTTATAGTTAGATTGTTACTTTATATAGAAATGTGTCATTCTTTTTGGGACTGACTAAAAAGGAAAGTGAGTCATATAAATTGGGACAGAGGGAGTATGATTTATGTGTGTTTTTATATTTTTGTAGTATAAATTTGAGGAATGTTCGAAAATTTAAGATACAAAAGAAGGAATTAATAAAGAAGATTAAGTTTACAATTACAAAATTACTAGTATAATTTATGATTTCATTATTTTAGGAAAACTTGTTAAAGTTGTTAAGCAAGGATCATGTAAATCAGTTTTGATTGTTAATTATTAATCCATTAATCCTTTAATCAAGGAAATAAGTTATACCTCTTTAATTCAAAGTTATAAATCGTGTATCTGGACTTTTAAAATCGATGGATACATGTATCTCGCGAGTAATGATATATGTATCTCAATTACTTCTCTAATTAAGGAAATTAGGTACAACTAATTAATCTAAATAATGAAATACGTATCTCGATTTTAAAAGTCAGCAGATACATGTATCTCACGTATTCAGACTCTTGTATCCTAAGCACAAAATATGGTAGAGAAAGTAATATTTGAAACTATCTGGAATCTTAAACTAGTGGGATTTATGTAGTTTATCCTTTTCAAAAATGACTATAGTTTAGGCCTTATTAGCAATTGACATAATATATAAACATGACCGTTAACTTGACTTCGGTTGACAACTATGATCTTTAACTTTTGTTGTGGACAAGTAGACACTTAAACTTGTGTAAAATTGAACAAATAGACACATTCATCCTACATGTCAATTTTGTGTGCTACGTGGCGTTCTACGTATATTATGTTACATATGACATGTGTGTCTACTTGTTCAATTTCATACAAATTTAAGTGTCTACTTGTGCACACCCAAAGTTAAAGGTCATAATTGCTAGCTGAAGGCAAGTTAAGGATTATGTTTATGTATTGTATAGATGTAGTTTGGATATTTAACATCATAGCAATTGTTTGAGATGTTAGGCCAAAAAAGAAATTGGCTCGCCTCTTTATAATCTATTTGTTGTATCCATATATATCGAATATAATTTGTGTGTATAAAAATACAAATAACACAAAAAAGGGGGGAAAAGGCAAGGGATTCATTTATTCATTCACTCTAATTTCAATGTATTCATTTGATCATTGCCAAGCAAAAATGAAATTTCATATATTAATTCCAATTCAACCAACAAGGGAGCTTTGATGCCCTTTATATAGGTGTCGATCCACCTACACGTCTTGCTTTTACACAATCTTTAAGAACTTGTTTAGAGGGTAAACTAGAGGTGAATGCCAGTGGAACAACAAAGAGTTAGCAGGGGACTATTGAAGTAATAATACTGGCATCGTATAAAGTTGAACAAATAAACTCATGCGTCATACGTTGCATTCTATGTTGGCAGTACTAACTCCCTTTGAACGATTGGTGGTGAATACTATCTACTACGTTGGTGGTACCAATTTTTCAGAAAATCGGACATATGATGAAAGAAACACAAGGAATTTGCTTAAACTCAACGCGAAAAATCCTAGTTCAGGTTGGAAAATCACATCTTCGAGGACGTTGATTGGTAGAAAATTGTATGTTCATGTAAGTCCATATGATTAATTAGTTGGACGCGAATATTTCACTGCTTGATTTTATTCGTCCTCTCATTCTCCACTACGAACAATCAGTCGTTAGTCCCATCAACTCTTGCTGAAATTCTACATATATAGTTCCCTTTGAGACTATCTCGATTGGAACCATCTTTTTTTAACAAAATCATATCCGTCAAATACAAGTAGTAGGTAAACCAATACAATGTGAGTTATTCGTTAGAATTCAAGTTTCCTATATATTAACTTTGAGATCCTTGATGGAACTCATAAACTTCAAATCCTGGAGAAAATGTCGACTTCTTAGTGTGATAAGCTATATGCAAAAAGAGTGAACTATATCAATGATAAACACCATATCCACAAAACAAAATGAATGTGAATGAGAGGTACCACAAAGTAAAAATGAAATTTCATATATTAATTCCAATTCAACCAACCAAACACTGCAATAAGTTCTAATGTTAAAACTTACCTCACGACCATCACATCTATGGGTAAAAAACAAGTATCGTCAACAAGTAAAGTATGAAGTGACTCTACAGACACATTTAACGAATCTCTCTCTTTCACAACGTCAACGATTGCCAATGCAAATTCTACACCGTCTCTACGAAAGATCAGAAGAAACTTTCCCTTACCGAGATCAACCAGTTGAGTAAAATGTACAAAATTTTCATTCCAATTATAATTTTCATCAACCCACCTTCTACTCCATGGAAATGTCCATAGTTCCGTCTTCAGACATTTCGATTGGTACCATCTTTTTTCAACAAAATCATATCCATACAAATACAGATCATCCGTAAACCAATAAAACATAGAGTCATTCACAACTAGTTCTACTTTCCTAGCAAATTCTCTTTGTATATACCGAATATCTTCACAATCCTCTAGCCCTTTTGGGTGAGACTCAGCAGCCCCGTTTAAATCCAAACAGGGATGATCCTCGTTAACAAATTCACGCATGCACAAAACCCTTATTATGTCGAGGAAACAATACAATTCGCGAATCTTCACCTTCTTTTTTCCAAAACAGAGTAACTGAATCTAATAGAATGATCACCAAAACTACTCTTCATATCCAATTCAATCACTT